GGGTCATTAAACAGATGAGCTACAAATGATTCCTTGCTCAGGGAAAAAAACTGAGCTGCGGCACAACAGAAACCCGCAGGATTTACTGGGGGATAAATGTCTTGATCAGAGCATCCACCGTTGCTGGAGGCAGCCGCCGGTGCCGGTGCTCCCTGCGGAAAGTGGGGAACGGGGGCTCGGTTTGCTCCTCAGATGTACAGGCTGGCACAGGCACATCTCCCCGTCAGGAATGTAAAAGCGAGCACTCCTTGAAAAGAGTTTTTTCAGAGCCACAATTCCTCAGCTGAGAAAATAGACGGCTTTGCCCCAGATCCCATTCTATTGCAGAGGCAAAGTGGAGACAGCAGTTAGAAACAGAAAAACAATAAATACTGGGGGGAAAAAAAGAGGAAAAGGAGGAATCGTATAGCAATTAGCAGAAATGAGTAGTTATGGAGTGTAGAGAATCGACAAGGAAAGCCAAAAACATTGGGGGAAAATCAATTTTGACAAGCTAAACACAATAAGGAATACTTTAAAAAATGTGCTTAGGAAGAGGTGGAATCCAGTAACCGTCATTTCCAAATGGAGATTGCAAAATTGTTAATTATGTAGAAAAATGCAAAAGTATTCAATAAATAGTTCTAGTAATTGGGACTGAGACATAACAACATAGGATGCAGTACCTGCCAATGCGCTGATAACCAGCAAAGGCATTCAAAATATCATCTGCTTGACATAGTGATATTTGAAATAATCTAATAAAATAATTTGTGCCAAAGAATCTTCAAAGGCCTGGAATAGGAGCTCTCTGATCCGGGGGTGTTAATGGAGCTGGGGACCCCAGGATGGGCCAGGAGGAGTGGGAGGGCAGTGATGCCGTGAGCCAGCTGGAATAATGATGGGGATGCTGTGTGCATTGCACACTGTCCTTGCCAGCCCCGGGGAACAACTGGATTAATAGCTAAGGCAGGAAATTCAATGATGGAAATAACATTGACGTCAGTCAACGCAAGTTGATGGGAAGGGATACTGGGCAGTGTCATTACATGACAGGTCCAGCTCTTAAACCTTTCCTTAGGCATCTGCTCCTGGCCACTGTGAGGAACAGGATCTGCTCTAGGCATACCTGTGCGTCTAAAGCAGCACAGCTGGTTTTGTGTTGGTATGAGATTACAGCGTGCAGATGATCTACTTGGGAGTTTGATGAAGATGCCGAGTTGATAATGTGTTATGTTGTTGTTATTATTATTATTATTATTTTGTATTAACACTAATCTTTGTCAGTAAAGCATTGTTAAGATAGAGGAAGATCTGGTTTGTCAACAGCTTAGCAAAGAAAAGCAGTTGTTGGTTGGGAGTCCTCGTGGAACGAGGTTCTCCTTGGAGGAGCTCTTCGGCAGCGGTACTGTGCCCGCTGCCATTCAATGTTGTAATCAATGATCTGGAAGTAAATATAAAATCACTGCTGATAAAATTTGCAGCTGACACGGAGATTGGTGGAGTGGGAGATCATGATGAGGATAGAGCAGTCATGCAGAGCAATCCAGATTGCTTGGTAAACTGGGCCCATTTAAACAAAGTGCATTTTAACACAGCCAAATGCAAAGCTGTACATTGAGAAATAGGGAATGTTGGTTTATATCCTGGAAAGCAGTGACTTTAAAATGGATTTAAGGGTCACACTGCATGAGTAGCTCAGCATGAGCACTCACGGTGCTCCTGCCAAAGGGCTAATACAGTCCTGAGATGAAAAAACCTGAGAGGTAGGAGGAGAAGTAAGGCTCTGCAGAAAGCCCTGGTGAGATGGCAGCAGCAGTCCTGCAGGGATTGCCTCTGACGAGGAATGGGGAAAAACTGGGGCAAATAAAGATGAGGGCCACAAAACTGATTTGCTGACTTGCAGGTGGAAACTTAAGGAACTCGGTTTGTTTAACTTCTCAAAAAGCAGATGGGGGCGTGCCTTGATCGCACTGTACAAGCAACTTCTTGTGTAGAACACGCTGCATGCTGAAAGGCTCTTTAACCTAGCAGAGAAAGGTGGAACAAAACCCAATTTCTGTAAGTCAGTGCCAGATAAATGGATTCAATGTCTTTCTGTGACTCCAGGACAAGGCTTTCCAGGAGGAGAGCTTCAGCCAGACACAAGCTACCAGAACTGTGCAGGGTACGAGGTGGGCACAAACCCCCTGCTGCTGTGCAGGTTTGCAGGGGAGTGGGGTTGAGTGTGGATTGCCTTTGCCCTGCAGTGAGGAGACAGCCCTTTCAAGGGCTGCCAGGCAGGATCTGACATTTAAAGGAGGTGTTTTTTAGGTAAAAGTGATGCAATTCGGAAGGAGACCCCTCCGGGGAGGGATGGTAGTTGTCACAGGCTGGGTTTCTGAGGCTGTTTGTATTATTGCAGGCACCCCAAGGAGCCCTAGTTGTTTGTCTAGGGTTTTACAAGCATGGAGTGAAAACAGAAGCTTTGAGCTAGGGATGAACCATAGTGGGAAGTGATGTCTGTGCAGTGAAGGCTTTTGCAGGCTTTACACAGCTGCACATCCTACAAAGTGGGCTGAGAGATGACTTCTGGAGGGTCACGCACACACAATTCTGCTGTGGGCAGGACTGCCTTCACCTCAGCTCCCCCAGAGCTGCACACGAAGACCTCCTGGGAGGTGCTTGCCTACCCCGTCATGACAAAGATTGCACTTTCTGCTTTGGCAAATCGATCGCACTTGGCTAAACCTACCATTGTATTTTTTCCCATCATGGCTAACTTCCCAGTTGCAGGTGAAGGCCATTCCTTCTTGTCTGTCCATGGTCAAAAGCAGCAGCCTTCTCTTTGCAGAAGGCTTTTATGAGCTTGAAGAGTGCTGCTTTTGCCACCCTCAGCCTTCTCCTCCCCAAACCAGTTTCCTCATTTTTTTTAAGGTTTCATCATGATTTCTAACAGTTGCTTGTTTCTGTTCCTCTCTGCTTAACTGGTGCACATGTTCTTGAAAGTGGTGCCCAGACTGGACACAGCTTTGTCTCTGAAGTCCTACTTGAGCAGACAGATCCCTGTGTGACTTAAAGACTACACGCCTGTTTACGCATCCCAATATAGACGCATTTTTTGGTGAGAGATTGACACTGTTGATCGATAGTCAACCCATGATCTGTTGTAACCCCCAGTCCTTCAGCCAGCCTGCTGCTTGCGCGGTGATTATTTTTCCAAAGTGTGCAAATGTGACAGATATATTCCACATCTGTCATCCAAGCAGTTAATGAAAATACAGGCTAGCGATGGACTCGGGACACAATCCGAAGAATTTCATTTGATACATCATCCCAGCTGAAAGGCCTGTCTTCAGTAATTACTTTCTGAATACAACTTTCTAAATGCTTTACATCCACCCTGCAGGCAATTGCACTATATTACCTAAGCAGAGAAGTACTATGCTGCACCTACAGTGTTTTCTTGCATTACTTCTGAGAATATAAGCTAAAATAGTGTCAAAAAACTTCCTAAAGTCAAGATATAACATTTACTCCTCCTCCATCCACAAGGCCTGATGTCTTTTCAAAGGAAGAAGTTCAATGGCTTGACATGTTTGTTTGTGACAAACCTACAGTGACTGTTACTCATTTCCTTGTTATCTTGTAGGTACTTACAAAGAGTTCTTTTATCTGTTTCAGTATTTTTCCAGGAACTGAAATTAAGCTAACTGTTTTATAATTCTCCAGCTCTTCTTTTTTCTCATCTTTAAAGACAGGCACTATTTTAGCTCACTTCCAGTCTTCTGGAAGCTCCCTGATTCTCTACAAATTCTTTTAAAAAAGTATATTTAAAAAAAGCCAAAAAAAAAGAAATAAAAAAAAGCCCTAACAACTCTGAAGTTACTTAAATCAGGTCTCTAAGCACCTGGGGTGAATTTAATCAGGTCCAACCAACCTAAAAGCAGCTAGCTCATCTAAATGCTCCCTGTGTGTTCCTTCCCTTGGTTAGTCTCAGTTCCTTCCCCTTCCTCGTTGGTGCTAACCCGATTGCCACTCGGTTGTAATAAAGACATCAGCAAAAAAGGTATTCAGCCTGAATGGTGTGTTGGTTCCTCTGTCTTCTAATCGCCTTCAGATCCCTGTCAAATATCTCCTTTCTTGGGCTCCTTCCTACATTTATGGGTGATTTTGTGTCTTTTTCTCTCTCTTGGTGTTTATGTTTCATTCTCTGCACTCATCATCCTGCTCTTGCCCTATGAACTTGTGCTACCCTTCCCACTCCTCAGTAATCATGACAAAGAAGGATTTTATGGAAGGATTTGGAGGAGGATAATGATGTAGCTTAATGGCTGTTTGCAGGGAGCTCCTCCCAAGCATGAGGCAATGCTGAAGAGAGAAAGTGTGAAGTAGGTCTTTGAAATGTTTAACAAGTGGACAAAAGAAGCGATGGTGAGCCTTGATGAAGAACCTCTTAGGATAAGAGATGGTGTCAGGCAAGAGGCTGGAAGGTGAGGGATGATGTCACCATAGCAATGTGCTGGGCAGTGGTCCCATTAGGGAGGCTCTTGGGTGGGGTCAGCCCGGTGGGTCTCTGAGATCGGGTCTCTGAGAGCACCAAGGGTGCATGCGGCGTCTGCGTGCAAAGTGGAGACCCCAGAGGAAAGGTCGGGGCCAATAATTCAGGATGCTGGGCTAACAGGGAGGACCTTTCTGGAGCCTGCCAGTCATAGGAGAGGGCATCTGCCCAGGGTTGTCTCTGGGTGGAAGAGGAGGCTGGGGCACAAGCTGTGGAGGGAGCTGCAGGGTCGGGGGAGCACAGGGACTGTGCAAGGCGTGCTCCCCGCATGGGGTGGTGTCTGATGGGGTGCTCTCGGCTGAGGCGGAGCCCGGCACCCTGTCTGTTGGGCTGGTTGTGGGGGGCTCATGATGGACCCTGCTGATGTTGGGAGCACTGTGCAGGAGCTCTCTGCCTCTGTTTAGGGGTCAGGTTTGATGACCCCCCCCTTTGCCTTCATCTGCTGGGTGAGTCATGCAACAGCTTTTCTCTTCTCTCCCAGTTACCTCATCGCCGAGTGACGTTCTCTGCAGCCAGCCAGGCTCAGGACCTGCAGGATCCCTCCCAGCACAGCTACTATGACAGCGGGCTGGAGGAATCAGAGACCCCAAGCAGCAAATCATCATCGGGGCCCCGCATCGGGCCACTAGCCCTGCCTGAGGATCACTACGAACGCACCACGCCCGATGGTAGCATCGGGGAGATGGAGCACCCTGAGAACGGTATGTGCTTGCGGCACGCGTGCCTGCCCCCTCCGCAGGGACCCTGCACCCAAGGCTCTTCATCCTCAACGCTGCACCTCCCCTGGTGCGGGTGAGATGGGGTAAGGAGCTCGATTAGGACAGGCTTGCTGTGCTCAAGTCTGGTGAGGCTGGGAGTCTGGAGAAGAGGTGAAGCTCAAAGCAAAAGAGCAGCAAGGATATGGTGGGGAGAGGAGGGGAGGTCTGGGGCAGGCTAGGAGATGTGGGAGTGGGAAGAGATGACGAGGCAAATGAGTTTGGCAGGAGGTAGATGGGTTTGGCATGATGTAGACAGAAGGCCTGACAGGATGGTCCGAGACAGCAGCATGGGCAACATGCGGAGGAGGTTGTAGCCCAGCCGATGGTGAGCTTGCGTGCCACAGTCAGGCTGTCCCATGGGTGCCTGCCCCCATGGCAGGGCAGGGATGCAGGGGTGGTCAGGGCGTGATGCAGGTCTCCATGCTGTGGTGGATGTCAGAGCCGTGGGAGTTTTCTGGGGAGCAGAGGAGGAGAGCAGGTTTAGTGGCACAGACTGGGGTGAGGAGACACGTGGAGTGAAGGATCAGAGAGCATGGTGGTGGCAAACCTGAGAGCAACGTGTCCTGCCTTCACTGGGCCCTTCAGGTCACCTCCTGCTCTGGTCCACCTTTACTTGAGAACCCCACCGGAGGTGTCTGCAATCTCACCGCGGGAGGGCTGGCTTTCCCCTGCCCTGGTGCAGCTTCAACCCTAGTTCTGCTCCTTGTGCTGCTGCTGTGCTGCCTGCCTGACTACCCTCAACAAGCCCACTCCCCAAGCTATCTTCTCTGGCCAGCTTAAGTTGCTTCCTCAGACTTGGCTCTGGCTGTGCACATAACATCTACTTTCCTGTTCCTGCTACCTTCTGTGCTCTTGTACTGAGGAGAGGTTGCAGTGGAGTTGGCAAGTTCAAAGAAACCTCTGGGAGGGAAAAAGAGGAGGTGTAAAGGCTTCTCCTGAAGTCTCCTCCTACTTCTGGGAACATCCTTGACTTTGGGACAGGACGGTATGTGGTGTGAAAATGGCTGAGAGTGTGTTCAGCTGGTCTAGGGAGCTACAAAGCTGCTGGGTCCGCCTACTAAGGAACACATGGGGCCCAGGGTAATTTGTGGTCTTGGAGGTCTAGTGGAACATCTCTTCCTTCTTCCGAGGTTAGTTCCTGGAGTAACAGTGGAGTTCGCTGTGCTACGACCATTGAAGCAAGGCATGGTGGTGCCAGGTCTGGCAGCATTCCCAAATCTATTTGTTTGTCTTGCAATATGCGGCACCCTTCTGTCTGGGAGTGTCGTGCAGATCACTTTCTTCCCAAAACTACCAGCCAGTCAACTGGGGAGAGCAGTATGGAGAGGTTCCTGGAGTCCTGGCACAGGACAACAGTACTGGACTTCCCAAGTGCCCTTGAGTACCAGACTGTGCTTGCAAGAGAGGCTTGAAGAGCACATGGGCAAAGAGATGCCACATGGCTGCACTGAAAGATATGGTGGGGCAGTGGTGATGATGGGCCTGGAAGAGGAAAGTTTGAGCCCCTGAAGGTGACACGCAACCCAGAGATGATGAGGGAGGAGCAGGGCTAAAAGTAGAAAGGAGAGAGAGAGGAGGACCTGGGGGGTGTGCAGCAGGAGATGGAGGGTAGAGAGGGATGCCTGTGGTCCTTGGGATGTTCGTTATCTGCCTGATGGGGATGAGCAGACCCAAGGAAGGCGAGGGGACACTGGCGGATCAGTGGGTCTCACAGGGACAGAGCTCCTGGGCATGGCTCCTTGCCCACAGGATCACAAAACCCAACCTGCCCTATAAATTAGGCATCTCCCTCCTTTTGCACAAGAGACCCTCTGTATGTTCACAACATACAGGGAGGACAGAAATCACCACACACCCATCCACGAACAGATCCACGTGTGTTACAGATATGTGCAGAGGCTTCCAGGGGATAACCATAACCCTGTTCTGCTCGCCGTCCCCCAGCCTGTCCTGGTTTGGCTCCCTTCACGTGGCAGTGGTTGGGAAGTCAGACTCCAGTGCCTCCAGCAGCCGTGCTGACCTGTATAAACCAGGTTCAGTGCAGAGGCCATGGCAGGCCAAGGCTCTGGGGAATCCACCGGCATTAATCCTCGTCGGTCCTGTTCCTCTGCGGATAATCTGGGAAAGGCAGTTCAACGAACTTGAGGGGCTGGGGTCAGGGTCATGATCCGTTAAGCAGACTATTAGGGGACCCTGGCACCAGGCCAGGTGATTTGGAGATTAGAAGGTACCGCTCATGTTAGATCAGTTCATCAGAGTTGTATTTGCCACGGTTTGTCTCCCCGAGATGTGGCACGTCAGACCTCTCTGTGGTGCAAACAAGACCTCTCTGTCTCGTTTGTCCAGAGAAGGGTCATATCCTGCTTCCTGCAAAGAGTCTCTAGTGATGTGGGACCATCATGACCTTTTTGGAGATTGCCTCACCATGCCCTTGTCTTGGCTACTGCAGCTGCTCAAGCAGCACCAGCTCCTCAAAGAGATCAGATTTTGGTTTTTGTGAAGCTGGGAAGACTGAGCCATTCTTGACCTTAAATTAAACTGAAGAGACAAATTGGATCCCACACACCCTATCTCACGGCACGAGCGCAAGACTGACACGACTGTGCATTTTCTAGGCTTTCATCTAGTTAAAAATATCCAACATAACAAGGCTTCCATTGCTTTCTCCAGGAGATTATCCCTGCAGCCGAACCAATCTGATAAGCAAGTATGCAAGGCTATTTATAGCTTTTCAACTGGAAGACAGATCCATGCCTTTTCTTTGTAGATGGTTCTTCACTTGATTAACACACATATCAGTGTCCTCCTTTTTTGGACCCTTTTTACTGTACAGACTGCAGTAAAATGCTGTATTGCAGGGGCTGAGCCAGGTCCTTTTCAGGAGGAATTACGATGTTTCTGATGAAAACTTCTTCAGTATCTTGGCAGTGATGTGCCAGCTCCTCAGTCATCCCAGGCATTTGTCATCCCTGGTATTTTACCTAGCTGCCCACTGTTTCCTCCCCAACATTTTGCCATGCTGTTATCCACTTTTGTGGGGTACACTGAGCTGGGAACTGAGCTTAGTCTCCCACTTGGCCACCCGTTGCTTTCGCTAAAGACATCTGCTCCCCCTGTATCACAGATTTGCTTTAGTTGGAAGGAGCCTGGGAGTGATTCTGCTCTGCAGAGGATCTGCCCTGCCATAATGCTTGCAGAGCTTGGCTTATGAAAGTGCCAGTCTCTCTCCATTGACGATGAAGAGAATTTAGTGAGATTACAGGACCAAATACGTGCAATTTAGGAAACGTTACATGAAGGCTGTTTCAATCTGCCCCTGTGTGGTACAAAGGTACCTGAGATGATGATACGTTGGATGAAGTATTTCTGAATTTCATTCTTTAGCCCACAGAACAGGGGCAAACCTTTAATCTGTTTTATCCCCGTTATTTAAAGTGGGGACCCCGTGCCATTTTTAATCTATGTCATTACAACCCCACACTGAATATGTAATTTAATGATCATCTCCTGAGCTTTCGCAACGCACTTGGTGCAGTAGTATCTGTACTTCACAGATGTTGATGAGTTTATCCTCACAGCTCCCTTTCCAGGGGAGAAATTCCACCAAAGATGGGGAATGAAATAGAAAAATTATAATCTGCATTTCTGAGATGTCTGCTCGCTTTGGGTGACCTGCTGGCAGCTCCTCAGTCTGCTCTTTTTGGAAGGCGAGAGCCGCTGTAGCATCCCAGTGCTCGTGAGCCACGAGGCAGGTCTCCAGCTGCTCTTGGACGGTGAAGCTGAGGCTGCATCGACTGCCTCCGGGCAGCTGCTGACGTACGAGGCGCAAGCAGCATGGATTTGGGACTTTGTGGCAGAGCTAGATGTAAAACCCTCTCGCCTGGTTCATAGCCATAGGCTTTTCTGACAAGACCAGCCTTTTTTCTCATGGTCTCTACCTCCTCTGTATGCCTCAGCACAGCTTGAGCAAATGAATTGAGATACCATTTCCAGGGCTTGACTGCTGGACTTAACAAAACCTCTTCAGTTCAGATTTTTCTTTGTTTCAAGACAAATTGGTAGATGGATGCATTGTAAAGCCAGAAGACGCAGCTTGTCTAATCCCTGCTTGACACAGGCCATAAAATTTCACCCTGTGACTTCTGCATCTCACCATGGCTGAGGGGGAGCACTCCTTTGGAAAGATCCCATTTTGACAGCAGATTGCAAATGGTGGCAAGTGTGCAAGACCCCCGGTGAGCGCTTCCAGTGGCGGATCCTCTCTGCCCCCAGTTTCACAAGCCTACACTTAAATTCTGCTTGAGCTGCTCTAGCTCCCATTTCTTTCCATTGAATCTTACGATATTAGAAGACACCTCACTTGACGCATGCTTGTAGAGCCCATGCAAGCGAGGCAACATTTAAAGTTCTCTTTGATACATTCAAAAACTGAGTCAAGTCCCTCACTGTGAGCAGAGCCAAGGCAAGACATTTTGGCAGCTGGGTCTCTCTTCCTTTCCTCCCACCCTTCCTTGCGCTCCTCCCAGCCATTGCCATCTGCTCATGACGCCATCACAGACCCGCAGCCCCATTCCTGGGCAGAAGCAACATCTGGCACATCTTGGATGTATGTGCTGCTTTTTGGCAACCCTTGCAAAGGCAGCCTGGGGAGATTTTTTTTCCTCCTGCTCCCCTTTGCTACACTTCTGATTATAGTTCAAGTCTTCTGTTCCTTCATAGCAATTTTTCTCTGCATGATCGCCAATTTGCCAACAACCTTTTAGCAGTGTGGTTGTGTCCAGATGATAGCCCGCAGCTCTCCAGCAGCACTCCGTGGCATCCGTAGCAGCACCAGGCACAGAGATAATACGACTGCTAGTGTTTGTCTTCATAGTCTCACGACAGGTATGTGTGTCCATCGCATGCAAACAGAGCTGCTTCTGGCTAGCACTGGGCTGTGCGTG